TTTTTAATTTTTAAAGGGCTTAGAGCTAAGTTGTGGTCATTCGTTCATAAACTTCAAGAGGCGTTCATGCTATTATTGTAAAATCGGTGACGCCGTGATTACGTCAAACGGACACCTTTTGAAACACGGCGAGGTGGCCGCCTCCTCTGTCTTCCTTTTTTTTTATTTTTTACTTTTAAATTTTAATTATACTCTCTCCGTTTATTTCACACCACTCACATGTTATATGAAACCATTCATATGTTATATGGTCTGTTTCCTCATTTTTATTTTTTATTTTTTATAGTGATTTCTGATTAGGGAAAAACAGAGTCTGTTTGAGTAGGGAAAAACAGATGGTCCTTGCTCACTCCCTCCTGGGTATTTTTTAACCAAACCGATTGTTTACCTGAAAACCGAACCAAAAAAATGAATTCGGTTCAGTTTCAACAGTTTTTGGTTTTTTTTTTAATTTTAATGTTAACCGAATATATTTTGGTTCAGTTTCGATTAAGTCCCTCAAAAACTAAAAACCGAAAATAAACCAAAAATAAGTCATTTAAAAACTAAAATTAAGATAAATATAACAAAATATGATAAAATATGTGATAAAATATAATATATTATTAGCAAAATAATTAATTATTATTTATTATCAAAAACCAAAACCGAACCAATTTAAAACCAATTTATTGATAACCGAACCGATTAATTTTTTTGATAATTTTAATTCGATTTTGGTTCTCAAAATTAAAAAAAAAAATTTAGTTATTTCAAAACCAATTTCAATTTTAACCAAAACCGGTTTTTGCCCACCCCTACTCCCTCCCTTCCTAATTCCTACCTAGCATTATCGTAAATGATAGGTAGACATTTAATTTAATATATTTTTTATATATTTTAAATTTAATTATTAAAAATATAATGCCAACCGGCCTGTGGCCCAATTGGTTGGCCCCTAAGCTTTAGGGCTTGGGTGAGTCAGAGGTCAGGGCTTCGAGTTTTGCTATCGTCGTGAACTCCACCAATTTGCGACCTAATGGTCACGCTCCTCAAATAAGGAGGTGGAAGTTTCACTTTCTGAAAAAATTTCAGCTGCTAACAAACTAACTTTACTAACTTCCTAACCATCTACCTGGTCAAAAAATAATAATAATAAATAATATAAATATAATATAAATATAATTAATTTAATCAATTTTTATATTTTATGTATATAATTATTTTTAAATTTTATTTATTTTTAATTTTAATAATTTTTGATAAATATATTATATTAAATTAAAATATATACCAATAATTATTATAATATTATATGAATATTGAATTGAAACTTTGAATTTAATAATTTATTTTTAAATTTTAATATTTAAATATAATTAATTAAAAATTCGACTCCCCCGGCTAATTATTTGAGAAAATTTCTCAATTTTTCATAATTTTCATGTTAAAAAAAAAATTATATCAGTATCCTGTCTTAATCAGGACCATTAAACGG